CCCCAAAACCCCAAAACCCCAAAACCCCAAAACCCCTTTCTTTTAGTAAATTTTTGAAAACAGGAATAATATAACATGGAGAATAAAGATGTCGAGCTTGTACTCTCTCCGAAGAGTAATTCTTTGTATTATGAGCATTTAGTGATGGGAAATTCAGAATTTGAGGAATCTAACCAGTTTAATTTCACCCAAAAGTACGTAAATTTGCCTCCAGTCTACTATTCAGGCTTGATAATATTCTCTAGATACAATCAGATGTGTAGGAGTAAACTCGAGTCATTTTTATAACTGATTGAAATGAGCTGTATGCTGGGTTTGATGACCACCGCCAGTCTTTTGAAAAGCTAGTTAAGCTTGACCGAGCTCAGAATAAAGGTAAATTTTAGAGCATGGCTTCTAGGCAGGTTCAAGCGACACCATATTAAGCGAAGGACTAATAATCCATCCTCAACTGAAGGAGAGGAGAGGGCTAAGAAAGTCAAGCTGTACAATACCTTAGCAGAATTTATCCTTTTGGCTAAAAATTCTCAACCAAAGATTTTAAAATTTAATGGAGATGAAGGAGCTTTGAAGCCAAAATTTCAAATTAAGCCTCCTCAAAATAGGTAATTTTAATACAATTTTACTTAGAATGCAAGAAAAAGTGAAGGGAAAGACACAATTTGATCGTAAGAGTGCCAAAAAGCACGAGAATGACAAGACTAGCAGCCTTCAACCAAGCGTATGGGGAGAATTTGGGTCCCTATTTTTCCAAAATGATCAAAACAATGTTTCAAAGGTAGATTTTTCAGATAATCTTTTAGTCAAGGCTAGGCCAGCACATTATAGAAATAAACCGTAGGCCCTTTACCAAACTTTAGAGGATCCCAATACAGGCGATGAAAGCAGTGATAATTTTATAAGCATCTCTGAAGAAGGGAATAGTTTCTATTGTAGCGATAAAGGAAATGAAGAGAGTGAAACCGAGCTGCTCAGCCCACAGGAAAGTTTCTTTAAGATCACCTCAACTCCACTCAGTAGGAGGGCCAAAATTTCTGGAGCTTCTTCAAAGCAGAAGAAATATATTTATAGTAACAAGACCATTAACAAGAGTAAAGTTAACTCATCGATAAAGCAGACTCTAAACCGGAACAGTGAGTCACAGGCATTCTGGAAGAGTCATCTTCTTGAGGGTCAGCAGATGATGGATTCTAATAGACTGTGATTCCAAGGAGATCAGATGTCTCAGGATCCATCACTGGATACTATCAAGAGGTCTCTGAGCCAGATCCATTTGAGCAAGCAGCGGAGTTCTTATCACAAGAAGTTCTTGTCAAAGCCAAGCCTGAGTATTTCGCGGGTCAACAGCTCAGCTTATTACAAGAGGAAGGGAAATTTGACGAAGAGTAAGGATCTCTACTAAAATCTAGTGAAATTGAGCAACCTGAAGAAGGAGCCTTTTGAGCTATCGAAGTTTAACAGGAAGGATATCCCGAAAAATAAGATCTCAAAGCCTCATACTATCCAGCACAAATCTACTAAAGGTAAGCCATATGGTTTAGGATTGTAGTCCATCCAGTAAAATTGCACAAGAACAGGATTCAGAAGGAAATTGAGCGAGCCAAAGAAGCAGGCAACCAAATCCTTGAAAAGGAAGTTCTCTATAAGTACAAAGTTAGTGGGGCTAAGCCTGATAAAGCTCCTAGGTAGAGTGGCGATTCAATTTTAGTAAAAAGAAGCCTACTTCTGGGAAAAATGGGAACCAAAATTTGCTGTATTTTAATAAAGAGGAAGAATATAATAAAATCATGGTTGATTATAATGATAAGGTGTCTAATTATCAAAATTTTGAGCTTCCAAACGGTGCTAAGACACCACTTACGTTGATGACTTCAACCTCCAATGAAGTAAAATTCCCTCAGAGAAAAGTGAAGACACCGGTCGACCCCATTCATAACCTCAATAAAGAGCAGAGAGAATGACTCAGAACTTCAGGAAGTTACTCTAAAGATTCTTTAAGGTATCATCAGAATGGGCCTTTGATTCTGTCTAAGCTAGAGCCCTCAAGCAGGGTCGCTCATAACACTAATCATTTGAAACTGAAAGAGGCCCGATATCCGCAAAAGGCGACTAAGTTATCAGTCAATATCTGCACTGTTGATGCTTTTAGTAAGGATCTATCTCCCTAACTTTCTCAATGGTTGATTCATAAATTGGAAAACAAGACATGTTCTTTCACCCAAATTTCCCCATGCAGGCTATAAGAAGGTTTTTCATCGTGCGATAGCTCAGGAGGCCTCATTACAATCTTAAGAATTATATTAAGCTTCTTTACTATTCCATTTTCTGGTAGTGCCCTCTTCATAAAATTTGGATTCTTAACAAAGTTTAATTTTTCATGATACTCAGTGAATTTATCAAGGATTTCTCTCAATGATTACTCATAACTATTTCTGAATATGGATATAATGATGACCCATTGGGATAAAATTTTTGATTGCAATATCTCAGAGCTTAGTTACCAAGAATAGTAACCTAGTGACTTTTCCAACACAATTTTTGCCTCAAAATTTACTGTGATACACATTCCAGAACCAGTTAGGGTCCCTAAGGTAGCCTAATTGCATGGTTTTTCATCTGAAATGTGCAGTTCAGCTTATTTTGCAGTGAAGATTTCTAAGAATTTTCGCAAAAATTGAAGTCAAAATCCGAGGCTTTCTCATAGAACCATACTACCAAAAAACCTAAGTACAGGCTAAAATATGATGTTTGAATAGTTTTCACCATTTGCAAATCATCCTTGCGCTTGAAAGACTCTGGATTGCTGCTTGCTAGACAACCGGAACTGTCCCTTTTAGTAATATGATAAGCAGGATTTCGAACTCGATTACCACTAGCAATGGCTTGCTGGAATGCTAGATTTAGGTTTACTTTTTCAAGAAAATTCTAGTGAATTTCAAAAATAATTCCTTGAGCTTAGCTTAAATTTTTACAGTGAAATAGTAAAAATGTAGCTTTTTAGGATCTAATTTGTGTGATATAGCAAAAGGTTCATATCTGGCTGGTCAGGATCTTGATGGAAAGAACCTTATGGATTCTAAGAATACTAGCTGACTCAGTTCACCCTACCTCAATCAACCAATTGAGCTGAATAATTTTCAGACAAATACTGATCAATCTGTAAAATTTATGAATAAAACAGAGACTGCTGGGTTTGGCAAGGCTAAAATGTCTGAAGCTACAAAAGATGAGATTCGGAACCAGATTTTGGATCTTGATCTAGTCAAACTCCCTTCGATCAGCAATGAGTACGCCAATTCTTCTAAGCAACAAATGAAGCTTGTGAAACTTGGGAATTCCGAAGCAAGGAAAAATGGGATTCCTGTATCCCAGATAGTTCAGAACTCTTCTGAGATTGCTAAAAATCAATCTAATTCTCACTGTAGAGATGAATATAAGGACTATTTTAACCCTATGCTCAATAAGACCAGGGTGGATAACCTCCCTCCGTTGCAGGAGATGTCTGTTTTTGAGCAAAGTTTTGAAGGAAGAAGAAAGCAGACCGCTAACCAGAAGTTCCGATCTCGAAGCAAGAATTACCACAATCTAGAAAGCTCTACATACGCCAATGGGACTATAACTGAGATCCAAATGTGCAATAACCGACTAGAAGAGAGCAAAAGTAGTACTTCGAAGCCTTATAAATCACCCACTCGGCAGCCCAAAGAGACCATAACGAATTGCACAGTCATCCCTGGCGAGCGTATAGATACGATTGGAGATGCTTCATTGAAAGGCATCACCAACATAGAGAGATCCGGTACAAAGGTGGTAGTTAACAGTACGAAAATCCCAATGAAATATCCCTCTAATAATGTGAAGAACCTCAACTTGTAAGCCTATGTGATCATTTTTAGGTACAAAATGAAGAACAAGATGCATCCAAAATGTAATATAGGAGGGTCTATTCTTAAGAATAGAGGAAAGCGGCTCAAGAACGGCCAGGTACCCAAACGGGAACATCCGTCCAAAGTTATTAACCATATACCTAAGAGTAAGGTAAATAACAAGAGCAAGCGGTTTAAAGCTGTAAGACGAGGTAATGTCTTATATTTTATCTAAATTTTGAGCCAAGGTTGCATCTTTTACGTCCAAAATATACAATGAAAACAGCCTTAATCATTATATTTCAAAGCTTGAAACATATCCATAGGCATGCATGACCTCCATTATGCTAAATTAAGGTATAGAGACCATCCGGTCAGGCTCGAATGCCGAAAAACTCAACAGTTTTCTCTCTTCCAAAGGTACTCTCACCCTCTAATCTCCTTAGGAACAACTAAAGGAAGAGTCGATACTTATTCGTACAGGATCACAAATTTGACCAGAGGGAAGAGCCGAGGAGGGAATCGGCCAGGCAAGAAGATCACTGGAATTACCATCCCTGAGGACACTTCAGGGAACAACTCCGCAAGGTTGTCTTCTAAAATCCAAAACAGTGGCAGTAAGCTCCGTGTTATTTTCTTGGCATTTATTGGTCTATAGTTGTATCAGCCGGGTTTAAGAAGAAGCTTGCGGGTAGAAATCATACAAAAAACTCAGTGGAATCGAATAAGATTCCGAAAACAAGTCATCTGGTCAGTTCGAAAGGGAGTAATAGACAACATTTCAGTTAATATTCAATTCTGCCATTTTTCTTGAATTCGAGGGGTTGAGGAATCTAGCTGAGAAATTTCCAAGTTGGCATACGGCTTTGTTCTGACTGAGCTTGGGGTCGAGGTATCAATTAGAATTTTTAGATGCTTTTAGAGTTATTAAACAAACGGATGAGCATATCTGGAGGTGAAGAAATTTAAATCTTCCCACATTTTAGGTCTTGAGATTTCCTTCAATGTCTCGTCTTATTGATGAAATTGTATATTATGTGCAGAGATCATTTTTCCAACGGAAATAATCTTTTAGTTACAACGATTGAAGATTATGATAAACATATTTTTGAACAAATTATGAATCTCTTTTATAAAAAATCTTGCTTTAACAAAGAAAATCAGGTATCTTTTAAATAAGAAGTATTTGATAACTATCCAAATTCTATAAGAGCTCTTTTTTCTAAATTGTCAATAAATTCACAAAGTATTCTAACTCAAATCTTCTTTGGAGGTTTATTTAAAGTCTGAGCTCACTTTGCCATATTTTTAACAAGCATATGCATAAACAGTTCTAGCTACAATTAGGTGAGCATTGGCAGGGGTTTTGGGGTTTTGGGGTTTTGGGGTTTTGGGG